CTCTCTCTCTCTTTTCCTATTATCTATCTATCTATCTATCTATCTATCTATCTATCTATCTATCATCATCCATCCATTCAACCATACCATTTTTTCAATGGTATACAATTCATTAAGGTTCATAGTTAGTTAGCCTGGTGCTCAAATGGCCCCAGATTTCACCCATGGGCACATCTTCAAGCTGGTTCTTATGTCTCTGTTTTATATCCTCATCATTTTTTTTAGCACTTTCTTTCTGGTATAACAAAATATTCAAGGGTCATCTTAAACCTACATTGCCTCAGGCCTGGAATTAGCCATATCTCCAAGAAACATTGGTTCCTTTCAATGGGGAAGAATATTTGGAGACAGAGATTTGGGAGTCAAAGTTTTGCTCATTGGAGAGATACATTTTTTTTTGCCTTTAATTTTATTTTTTCTCATTTTTATTTTTCAATCAGAGTCAACATTCCATAATATTTTACATTAGTTTCAGGTGTACAGCATAGTGATTAGACATTTATATAACCTATGAATTAATCCTCCTGATAAGTCTATTACCCACCTGACACCATACGTAGTTATTATAATATTATCAACTATATTTCCTATGCTGTACTTCACATCCCTAGGACTATTTTGTAACTACTAATTTGTACTTCTTAATCCCTTCGCCTTTTTCACCCACCTCCCTACCACCCTCCAACACATTTTATCTTAAAACTCAGATAGGGTGGAGGTGGGGGATGTCTTGACCTATAAGGAGTGCTCAAGCGACTACAACTGCAGGGAAGACAGGACTGGAGAAACAAAATCAAAGGAAACCATTGCACCCTGCTCTCTCAATAAATGCAGGTGAAATTGAAAGGTTGCTTTTTATTGAACCTCACAGTTATTGCCACCCTTTTTTATTTTGGGCCTTGTGAGTGGTTTGCAATGTATAGCACATAGAACAAATTCTCACAGCCAGTCCTGGCATGGGAGAGCTGCTGTGTTTTCATCTACTACAGTTATTTATGTATCAGCTTTCCTCTTAGATTTAAATGCTGCAATAAATATTGAAGATACATAATTTGTTAATTGTGTAAAAGAGATTCATGATTCATGTTTTTATATAAAGCAAAGAAAAATAAGTATGCATTATAAAAGGCAATCTTCTGATTAGGCTAAATAGTTGGTCCCCATGGAGTGTAGGCTATTAGATTCAGAGAATCTTCTCATGTGCAAATCTCTGAGTACCCATGGTATCTTGTATTTCACAGTTTATAATAGTGCTAATGCAAATTGGCTCTGGTATACATATTGAAGGGTAAGGGAGATCTAGTAGTTTAGAAAAGTGATTAAAAGCAGTCAAACTTACTGGAATTTGATTCAAACTCCACCACTTCATGTTACCTCAAGTAAGTTATTTTACTTCTGGGCCTTAGTTTTATCATCTATAAAATGCAGACAAAAATAATAATTTATCGGGTTTATGTAAGAATTAAGTGATATCATACATGTAAGGAATTTATAACATTTCTTCAATAAATAACAGCTATTATTATGTTATACTGGGATTAGCTATTGACAATTAGTTATCAATCATTAATTTTCCTGACAATTAGCTTAAAAACTAAGTATAGATTGGGTTCTGAAAAATTCGATTATGATGGGCTAGTTGTAGTGAAAAGCTAGGGAGAGGGAAGGATGGAAAAGTTCTCAAAATAACCCAGATAGATAGCATTTCTGGAGGTAAATCGCTTTTTGAGAGAATTCCCCAAAACAAGGAGACAAGAGCAAAGGCAGATCCTGTTGTACAAAAGG